CAAAGAGTAGCAGTAGAAAGGCTGCAGAAAGAGTCAGGAGCCCAGAAGAATGGACAGGGGAGGTGTGGAGATGGGGGCAGAAAGTGGAGATGAAAGCAGACGACAGAACATTTCCAGAGAGCAGGAAAGAAGGTGAAAGGAGACAATTTTAGAGAAGAAAATTTGTCAGTGGTTACTACAGTAGACTTTTCTGGCATAATTTTGTTTCACTATGGAGCGGATCATTAAATTGATTCACATTGGAGCCAAACGAAGGTCAATAGGAGGCAAAATTGTGCGTGTACTCGACTTTGTCGAGACGAGAGTTGCACTGACATTAAAGCGCCCTTGGTGCGCGCGCTTCACAGCGAAGTTTTATAGAGAACGAAAAGCGGCGGCCATGACACTGCGCGGTTTAGGTTATTATAATTCCCATCAGTCACGTGTTATGCCACGGCATGTCACCACTATAATATTAATTTATTTTCAAGCCACACCCATTTTCGTCATGCCTTAATATCTTAACTATCAAGTTATTTCACACTCACCTTTAAGTTTTAATGTGATTGATATTTTCGTTTACCTTTCAAACATTTACATATTCATGAAAAAACACCTGTCGTGATACTTTAAACACTGATTTGCGTTCACGCACAACAACACTAATAGAAAGTATGCGATATTTCTATAAAGCAACGTAAAGAGATCTTATAGAATTCTGTGCAAATGAGTAAAAATTCTGTTTTTTTTATCTTTTCCTTTCTTTTATTTTTCTTAAGTTATATCAGCATAACACTGACTTTTCAACTCGAGTAACAGTGCCCTGCACGTGATTACAAACGACTCATGATGAACGTTTTGCATATTCGACTTCTGTAATGAATGTTCAATAGTCTGTTGTTGTTCATTCTGCTATACTCAGTATATTATACGTACATTCATACATATTATATATCATAAGTAATTTGCCTATATGTTTTGTCTTCGCGAACAGCCTGCATTCTCCTTTCATGTTCTGCATATCTTTAATCAGCTGCAATAATGATTGGCATATAATAGCTTATTGCTAGATAAATAATTAGTTGCTCAGTGTGTTCTTCCACTAATTAGACTGCATGACAATGTATCTTTTTAAGCAAACTCGTATCCCATACGATGTGCCAGCCTCATTTTTGGTTTGTTTTCTTTTGTTTCTTTAAAAAGTAATATCACTTTTTGTTTGGCTCAGTTTTAGATACTATGTTTTCTTGCTACTCAAACATAATTTACGTAGAATTTCAATCTTTTGTGCTACCCGTTCCCCATGTTTTCCTTTCTTCCAATTTTATTTTGTTACAGCGGATCGTCACTATCACAACCCTGATGGTATGTGTGCACCTTATTTCACTAAACAGGCGTTTAATGCTGTCTTCTCTGCACTTAGATAAAGCGTGTTCTGAGACCGGTAGATTTTTTTTAAAAATCTCCTCAATTCCTTTTCGCTTTCCTACGTTTCAGTATGGTTACAGTATTTATTTTACCCCATCCCGCCCCCTCCCCCATCACCCTTCATAGAAAGGAAAATAATATCTTGAGCTCGTATTGCACTGCACAAAGCCATGCCCAGGCTCTTTCTATGGGTACCCAGCTATAGACAGTGAAAGATCTTGTGAGTTTGATAGTGTTTGAGCGCGTGAAATCCGCAGCTTGCACTGTATGCTTCCCGGGAAGCTAAGAATGTTTCGGAGTGTTCTATGGTCTGCTGGGGTAATAATATAGTGTAAAGCGCATAGAGCCTGCTGTTGAGCGGGGATATGCGCTATACAAATGCTATCTATTATTATTATTATTATTATTTCTATCGTGGGCGCGAGCGAATACAAACACACACAGACTGCCACATTGTTTTTGTTCACATACTTATTATACATTCATACACGAGTGTGCATAGATGCGTGCTCAGAAAATACGTGCAAACCCCACACAAGTGAACATTACACACACTAACACGCATACACATATATACTAACACACACCTACATATGCAACACAGATAAACACACATACACACACAGACATACACACACACACACGTGAGCACACACACATACAAGCACACACACATACACACATACTCACGTCCATGTACGCACAAACGCATACAGCACCCTGCATCTCCAAACACACACTCACACACACACACACACACACACACACACACACACACACACACACACACACACACACATACACACGCACACTCACACACACACAAGCAAACACACAAACATATACACACACTATCTCACAATCAACATACGCACTTACACACACATTTATACTGTCTAACACACACACACACACACACACACACACACACACACACACACACACACACTCACAGACACAAAGACACACACACACACACACACACAGAGGAAAGCGTGATTACTCACTTTTACCGACTCTCTCCTAATGAGCTAATTGAAACTCTTCCCCATAAATAAACGTATCCTTCATTCCTCCATCTGTCTAAGAACTATATATTTTGTTACATGCTTAATTTCAACGGTAACTTTTTTTTGTCGGAAAAGGTCTCAGACGAAAAAGGTTAAATATAATATTTGAAACCAGTGTAGACTTACTGCTTGATCATAGTATGACACTTTTGCCTCTAACAAATTACGTTTACTTCCCTGTGGCCATTTTATTAACATAGTCGAACCTGCTGTTACGGTCACCTGTATAACACAGTCACCTGAACAAAGGGCCAGTCTCCGTGTACCCCTTCCGTATTCCACATTGCAATGACAGTGTGTGACACAGCACCTGTATAAGACGGACAATTTTATCCTAGACGAAAGGTGACCTCTGTTGACAATTTCAACTGTATTTGTTTTTATATTCTGGTTGTTATTTTTTCCCAGGTTTTTCAACTAATTTCTTCACAACAGGAACACGTCGATTATATGCTGTTCTTTCCATTATTAAAAAACACTACTTCTGAACATCGCTTGTATGCTTCTGGGTTATATTAAGCTTCATAATAATAGCTATGCTTTTGCACATTTGCCTATTTTAATGTTTCCGTGATCTGTCTTCAAAAGACGCAAGGACACCGTGTGGAAAAATAATGACATGCTACGTTTTACCATGGACTGTTACGACGCACACGACTCATGGTCCAAATCACAAGTGTCGCTCAAATTGGTTCTTTCGGGGGTTTCAGGAAAACGTCAGCGATATCAAAGGGTTTTAGAATTGTTTCTGTTGTTTTCAAAATGTTTTGTGTTGTTTGGTTTTCTTTTTGTTACTGGGGTCATAAAGGTAAAACAAGTATCCTGCAATATATTTTATAAAACACATGCTCTCCATTCAAACATAATAGAAGGTGTATGTAAAAAGGTGTATTTGAGTGCAGGTCAGTACCCCACCCGCCCCCTAAGACCGGTATTTCTCACACCACAAAATGTAGTCACCATTTCTTCCCCCATAGTAAATGCCGTATTGTGTGACTTATTATTTTGATATTTTAGGTTTACAAAAACGGCAATAAGATGACTAGAAGAACCCTAAGACGTACCACCCCTCCGGGAAGTTGCATAAGAAAATTTAATTTAATGTTTATGTTTTGTTATTGTTGTTGTTGTTGTTGTTGTTGCTTGTTTGTTTTTATTGTCTTTACGGTTCTTACAACACTGCATACAGGTAGAGTAACGAGTTCTCAAAATGCTTTTGGGGAACCTTGTGCTGAAATGGTTGTAGAAGCAATATTGGTTTGCTCATGATACATTAATTTTAAATAACGGCTGTAAAATGATAGGTACACAATTTAACTCTAATGATCAATTAATGTTCTTCTTTCTCTCTCCACGCCCTTATCCCCTTCTTCTCTCTCACCACCTCTTTCATTCCTTCTCTATCTCTTTCTTTCTCTCTGTCTCTCTGTCTCTCTCTCTCTCTCTCTCTCTTTCTCTCTCTCTTATTTTCGCCCTACCACTCTCTTTCTATCTCTCTTTTTTTCTGTTTTCTTTCTTTCTTTCTTTCTCTCTCTCTTTCTCTCTCTCTCTTTCTCTCTCTCTCTCTCTCTCTTTATTGTTTCTTATTACATTTTCGGGAACTGATTTTTTTTCTTCCTTACCTCTCCACTTCCTCCTATCTATCTATTATTTCCGTGAAGTCGCACAATCCCCTCGAATCTCCTTACCCACTTTTGGTACCAATGTTGAACTAGACAAAGTCAACAATTTGGCAGTAAATCAGGCTTCTGAACTCAGAAAGAGTCGAGCTCACAAAGTGGTGAATAGATTGTTTTACGAATCACCGAAGACATTGTCGGAAGCGTTAATGAAACTGCCGCTTACAGTTTTCTTTAAAGAAACCATGTATAATCTTCTCTTTGGGCAGCAGGCAGCTCATTCACTTATTTCGAATTTTTTTCGTGAGTTGGTATTTGTTTTTACTTTTATTTATATTGTTTATAGCTTTGTTCCTTCAACGCCAGTGGAAGCTGTTGACGTTAGCCATTACTCACATTCTCATAGCCATGTCTTACTTTTATTTACCTATTTTTGAACAAAATGTATTTCATTGAAGTCATTTTATATTGCGAAGCCTGTTTTTGGATAATAAATTGATAGTATTATATATAACGGTTGAAGTAAAAAAAATAAAAAAAATGAAACACGTTCCTGACAAAAAGTTGTGTTTCTCTAATTGTTTAGATCCAATTGTTCGTTTTATTTCGGGCACCCAGTAGGTGTTGTATCTCATTGCCTCAAAGCACACTTAAAGTATATTACACTACACTGATTTTGTCAATCATCCATCACCATGTTAAGTTTATGTACGGTCATTTCTATTTTTTTCATTTAAGTATTCTCGCTCTGTTCACAATTAACTATTACATTTTGAGGACGAACAAACGAAATAGTATCACGTGACTAGAACATTAATGACATAGGACTGAGCAAAAACGACAGTAAGGTAAAGCGCAATGCCACAACAATAGAAACAATAACAACATAGAAACCACAAACATTATTCATGTCGGAAATAAAAATAACAGTAATAATAATAATAATAGATAGCATTTGTATAGCGCATATCCCCGCTCAGCAGCAGGCTCTATGCGCTTTACACTATACTATTACCCCAGCAGACCATAGAACACTCCGAAACATTCTCAGCTTCCCGGGAAGCATACAGTGCAAGCAGCTGATTAAGCGCTCAAACACTAACAAACTGACAAGATCTTTCGCTGTCTATAGCCGGGTACCCATTCCCACCTGGGTGAAGTGAGGAAAATTCGTGTAAAATGCCTTTCCCAAGGACACAACGTCGGGCCCCTGAGGGGATTCGAACCCACGACCTTACGGTTGCGAGTCCGAGAGCCTAACCACTAGACCACCGACGCCCCCGACGCAATGTTGCGTGTAATAGGTAAATAAAAAGACGAATAACATGTTGACAACCCAAGGAGGATGGAACAAGAGCAAAACAAAACTTTAAAAATATTTAAAAATCAAAACAGAAAAACTCACTCAAGTGAAAGGTCTAGTATAAGGCAAAAAGTGAAGGAAGCTATAGCAGTCTTCAATAACTATTCGCCTGCCTATAATAATAATCATGTTGCCCTTGGTATTCTATCTATCTATCTATCTATCTATCTATCTATCTATCTATCTATCTATCTATCTATATATCTATCTATCTATCTATCTATCTATCTATCTATCTATCTATTTATCTATCTATCTATCTATCTATCTATCTATCTATCTATCTATCTAAACGCTTCAGTACGTCAACACTAGCTATATCAAAACAGCTTTTGAACTTTCTGTCCTTTCTACAATCGGCGAACTTGGACCAGTATGCTAATTATTTCTCAGATATACTCCCAATAACTTTTCTGAATTAGATTTATGTGTGCAGGGAGACATGACCCGCGTCAATACGATAGAGCAAGTTACCGATAAAACCCAACTAATTCAAGTATTCCATAAAGAGCTGGTTTTAATTCAGCCAGACTTTAAGAAAAGCTAATGGCCGTTGCTCAACCTTGTTATAAGGCAGCGAAGGGTCTCTAACATTCTCTGGCTCCCCCGACATAACCAGCTTTCAATGTGATTCACGGAAGCCGTTTTCGCAGGCCAACTAATTGCTAAATACACACGAACAGTCTTAATGCTCGAAAACGGGCTTCGTGTTCTTTGGCAAAAATGACGTGATTCGAAAATCGATAATTCTTCTGTCTAAAAAACGGTAAACGGATTCTTTGGCCCTTGTGCCGGACCTGGGATGCGCGCGCTCTGATGTGCGTGGGGTTTGTGTGAGCACGTCGCCTGTCTCCGTCGCCTGCTCACGCACAGATGCAAGTACTT